CATTTTAGAATTTAAATGTACATTTGTTGACTTGATGCTTAACTTAATCATGTTTTAATGTGTTGCTTCAGCAAGGACAAGCTGGCTTGAGTCTATTGTGTGTTTTTTATTTTTTGTTTTTTTTAAACATTTTTTAAAATAATTTTTATTCTACATCTTTTCTTTTAGAAACCTTTAGGGTTAGTTCACACCAGAAACTGCATCACAACTGCGTGCGTCTCCGCAGTTGCATTGCAATCTGTTTTGATGCTTTTGTAATGCATTTTTGATGCATTCTTTTTCCCTTGCATGCCCCTGGATGATGCCAGAATCAATTTTTTTTTTTTTTTTGTTGATGCGTGTGCATGCATTTGCACTTGCAATGGTGTGAATTAAGCACAAGAAAGCCCATAGGAAAGCATTGTGATGTATTTTGACTGCAGCAGTCAAAATAAACGGACTGCATCACAACTGCATGTGGTGTGAACTGGCCCTTAGTGCCGCCTTGTTGTTTGTAGAAAGTAACACTAGCCTGCATATTGGAGCATAGAATTGGCACAGGCATTCAACCCTCCTGGCATATATTACATTTTAGCAAATGTTTCTGACAGACCCCCAGCTCTCGGTTCCTCTTTAAGCCCTCGTTCACACCTGAACGTTTTGTAGCGCGTTCTACGCTCGACGAACGCTCTACAAAACGCTCCAAAATATAAATCCCATTGTAGTCAATGGTCTCGTTCCCACCTTGGCGTATTTCCGCCCGTCCCTAACGCGCTACAAAACGGCCCACGCCTGAAAAGGTACATGTACTACTTTAGGCCGTTTTGTTGCACGTTTCCATTGGGATACAAGTAGCCTTCGGAAACGCGCGACGGTCGTGCGACTTTTGTACCGCGAATCGCGGTAAAAAAAACGCGCGACAGACGCGCATATGCAATACGCCTAGGTCTGAACGAGAGACCTAAGGGGAGGAATGAGGTTGATCGGCAGCTAAGGGACTCCTAACAGGAATAGTAAGGGATGTCTTACTGGAATATTTTTATATGCATTGGCTAAATGATAGATTTTTTTATATTTATATATTGAATCACACAGTAAAAGTTTCCATATTTCAGCTGCTATGGCAGTGTGACTCTTTATTAGCTGTCTTTCTAGTCACGTTTTTTTATCCACATCTGCGCTACATGCTCTGCCGATTACCTTGGAAAAGGGCAATGCTGTAACTGTTCAACTGACCTTTCAGTTTATTTTCTCTTGTGTAATATCAAACACGGGCTAACGGTCCTCGTTGTCTGATTTCTCAATTAATATTCCTCTTTTTTTTTTTGTTCACTCCACTCAAATGAAGATCTGTTCTACAGTGCATGTTACAGAGACTATTTGCAGTTTCTCATGTAGAAGACAAAATTCAATAACTATAATTTCAGGTTTGAATACTTTGCCCACTTGTGTGATGTAAAAACCTTGCTTATTTTCTGTAAAGCATCCCTCATTAATATCATCGATGCTGCATTTTCCCTCCTTGTGGCATTATGCCAGCAGTGAGATGCTGAATGATGATGGCTTTGTGCATTAGGGTACTGCCAGATCAGCAATTTTATAGTAGCTTTTATGTCAGAAATTGCTGTTTATGTTCCATGAAAATGTTTTGTGCTTATTTTATTTTTTTTCCCCCTGCTAAAACTCTTTATTCACTTAACATCGATAAATTAATTGGATCTATGCAAAATTGTTTTTCTGTAGGTCTGCGTTTAAACGGTTTCCTGATTCATTCCCATGCAAATGTTTCTTTTGCTTGTGATTGCAAGAGAAAATAAGTTTACTACAGGAAAACATGCCATTGATTTTAAGTGAATACCAGATAAATATGAATTAAATGAGGTGGTATCTTAAATAATAAGTACACTTTTATTCAAAGGGCACATATTCTTGTTGCCCCCCTCCCCTAACCTAAATAATTTTGCCCTCCCCTCCACAGATTTGTTTGTTGACATCCAGCACTGCAAGTCTCTCTCTCCTGGCCACATCCATCTCCCTGCTGCCTGCTGGAGATGGCCTCATAGTAGCCAGTGGGACTCTAATGTCCAAATGCTGCCAGCAGAGGGAGTCTTGCAGTGCTAGAATGTAAGCAGCAGAGCAACTGTGCCCTTTGGCTCTCGACAAGTACGGATCTGCAGAGGGGGAGGGTGGGATAGTTTTGTTTTAAAGTGCATTTATCCTATAAATGCTTTCCATAGTGCAAAAGGAACATAACCATGTATGGAATACCTCATGTTGCAAGAAAGCAAGATTTGAAGTTTCTTGGAAGGTTTTGAAAGTTTCTTTTAACCATTTTAATTTACACAATAGCTTGTATGTGTGTTACATAAGCTTTTCAACACACTGTTCAAGCATGGCACCTGCACTCATGTCTTCCTTTGAGTTCGCCGACTTCAGGCCTCAGTGAACACACATGTCTTGGCCTCCTAGGCTTCAGGCCTAGCTAAATCAGTCAGTCCATAGCAGCCTTCGTCTAGGCAGGACCCAGAGTAGAAAGAGAACCTCACATAGTCCGCTCCCAATATTTATGTCCTCTCCCAGTACCACTGTCTAGTAACTGCATAGTGATTGGCCAGGGAGACATCAATATTTATAACAATATCTTATTGGTTGCTCAGCTCTGTGGCAAGGATACACCCAGCAGCAGGCAGATGCAAATGATAACAGATTGATAAGGGGAAACCAAATGAGCATACACTATAAATCAGTATCGGATTGATTACAATCTGACAATACTAAATTTAAATTAGCACTCCTGCTTTATCAGGGTGCTACACTAGTTTTTTGACTCCAATTCTAATGACAACTATGAAATTGTATAATGCTTTCATTTCTGCCCTGTTGACAATAGTTACCAAGGCAGAAAGTGAGAGTGAATTATCTAATCTAACTGGTGGCGGAGACAGCAATAAATACCTGACTGAGGGTATCCCCTTGCCAACTTTTGAAAAAGGTAGAAAACACTATGGCTCGACTTCCAATGAATGCATCTGTCCTGGTGTAGTAAGTGCAAATATTCATACTGTAAAAATAAAATAATAGCAAACGACACAACATTTTCAACCCTTCTGAGAAGAGGAAATCCTAAACAAAGCATTTGTTGTGTGTTTCTGTCTGATTGTACACACGTGCTGTCTATACAGATTTGTTGCGTCTAAAAGCAGTGAACACGCTGCCTCATTGTAACTTGTCCTGCTTTTAAATCAATTGTACTGATTGCGAAACGCCTTCTTCTAAAATTGCAAAACTTAAATTAGAAACCACGAGAAGAAGTAATTTTGTACAGATTGATTTTCGCCCACATGAATGTCCTGCTTGATTCCAGGCCAAATTGCGTAAAAAATTGGTAAATTAATTGTTGGTGTTCTTTGTAGAAGAAATTCCTATTCTACAATGTGTTTTTATGCACAAGCGGGATTGTATGCCAGGGATCTTGCAGATTTCATTTTGATGCCAGTGGTATGTTAAATCAATGACCCAAACATTAAACCTATTATAAACAAAACACCTTGTTGAAAGTAAGATGTGGCGCTAGTCTGTAATGTGCTTAAGGTGCTAGATCATGCATGGGACACTCGCTTCTTGCAGCATGCTCATCTTACTATGATAGCCCTGGCTCCTCTGATTTGTATATTACACTCCCATGATGAGGAAAGCTTCTCACAGGAGATATTTGCACTAATTATACTGCTTATGTTTGTATCAAGAAAAGTGATAGCTTTGAAATGGTTGTCTCCCCATCCACCTAGATTTGAGGACTGGCATGATCAGGTTAACCTAAAACCTTATAGTAACAAAGAAAAAAATGTCTTCAAACACAGGGGCTACCCACAGAAATTCTTCAACTTATGGGACACATGACTTTCAGTACCTGGGTTGGTGCCCCCTGCATTGGTTACTAAGGACTTATTCCATTAGGACTTAAACAAACTGCAAATACACAGAGGGAGGAATTTGTCATAGCAATTGTGAGTGTTTGAACTTGCACGGAATATACAGTATGTAATGCACTTTGCGCCAGATTTATGATGCTAGTTTAATGTTGTTGATAAATGAGGTTTAATAGACTCCAGGAAAGAAGACTTTTAACTCCAGGCAAAAAGCTTAACTGTCACTTCTTGAAGAAGTGGTCAGTTAAGCTTTTGTCAGCCCTGCTCTGGATCTGCTCCGCGCTTGGTGTGAACAAGCCCTTACAGTCAACAATACTGAAGTACTCAGACTGAGAGAGGTAGGAGGCAGGACTAAGGCCTTGTTCACACCAAATGCAGAGCAGATCCAGTCAGGTTTCTGCACACGCAGTGCAGTGGGTTGTGCCGCATTTTTGATGCGTTTTTGATGCGTTTCGGGCCGCTTTTGCTAAAAAAAAAAAATGTTTTTTTTTAAAAGTTTAACATGGGCTTTCAGGCACTTGCATGCGTTTTTGCGTTTTGCATGCGTTTTGATGTGTTCCAGAGCAGATCCAGACCAGGTAAAATAGGGCTTGCCGCAGTTTTTTCACCTGCTCTGGATCTGCACACTGCGATGTGAACTGGAGCTCAAAATACCATAGGAATACATTGGACGCAGTTTTGATCCGGTCTGCACCTGCTTTGCTCTGGATCTGCTCCGCGCTTGGTGTGAACAAGCCCTTAGAGCCAATTTAGTGTGCTACATGCAAATGTGCTGACAAGGAGCGTGCCGAAAGAATACAAGATCAGACAGATGGCCTCTTCAGTCTGCTGCTCCTTCACTGTCCAGTTAGGAAGCTGGGGATGGAGTGAGGACACCACTGTATTATGTAACTATAATTGGTGTCATTTACCTCCTGTGTTGTCTGGCAATGTTGTGTAATACTGAAAAAAAGGAGTACAAATACTTTGAAATGTAAATTTGTTTCCATACATGTATTTAATATGTATATTTGAGTGAATGCTTGGATTTCAGATTTAACATTTAAGAATTCACAGTTGAACTTTTCTTAAATTGACTGTTATTCTCTGTAGGTACGCTTTGCTTCAAGAACGTTTAAAAAACATTGAAGGTTGTGAAGGTGGCTTAGAAAAGTTTTCCAGAAGTTACCAGTCTTTTGGGATCCACAGCAAGCCCGATGGGGGAATCTATTGCAAAGAGTGGGTGCCGGGAGCAGAGGCCGTTTTCCTTACTGGTGATTTCAGTGAGTATTTAACTTAAGAATATGATCATTTGTATGGTTTATTTTACCTCAGGAAGACGTTTTCTTAATTAAAGTATATCTGAACCCAAAAACAAAAAAAGATACAATTTGCATCATGCAAGTCCTTAGACATGCATTACAACAAGAAATTAAGGTATTAGTGGTACCTTTCTCATAGGTGACCATGGGAAAACGCGTTTTGCTTGCTTGATAATCTCTCCAGTCTACTGATTGGATAGTAGTGAAGCAGTATCATGCTGATGAAGTCACATCACTGGGCAGTTCATTTGAGCCAATTAGCTCTACTCTACTTGCTTTTCCTTTTTGTTTTATCCTTTATATTATTTTCCATATTCCTTTGCATATAAAGATATAGTCTCACACTTATACTAGTAGTATGGCTTTAATTAATAGTAAGAACACGGCATCAGTTATATCAATACATCAAAATAAGTATTATTTTACAAATCCTAGGTTTCACTGTAGCTTGACACCTATTATCACTTGGTTCATTATTTATTGACATACGGTCTAAAGTTTGTATTTTCCTGGCCATATCCATGGCAGCGCTGACAAATGGGTTTAGATCCAATTACCCCTAGCTGACAGGAACCAAAAGGGTTAAACAAGGCCTAACCCTAATATATATATATATAGTTCCATGGGTAATCCTTCAATATGGCAAAGAATAAATCCGACTTTCAGAAAACCTTCTTTTGTAAAGTAAACATGCCAGATAGTTTGTGTCCACTGTCAAGATTGTTCAGCAGCGTTAGTGAGTGGACAGCAAAAAAGTAGCTGGTGTGTTTCTAATGTTTCAATAGTGTCTTTAATGTTTGAAACATCAGACACCACTTTTGTGGTTCACCAATAATCTCTGCTAAACAGTCTTTGGAGCTGACACTAACTATTTGCCACTAACTACAACAATATTAGACAATATGTCGCGAAGAAGGGGGGTTTGTATAACCCTATATGTGTTTGCTATTAGCTCTTAAAGGAGAACTATGAGGTGAGTGATTTTCACTCATCCTCATAGTTCGAGCCGACATGTGGCAATGAGACTGTCACACGTCGGCTCTATAGATCAGGAAGTGAGCGAACACATACCGTCGCTCGCTCACTTTCCGATCATCTCTTTGCAGGGAGCGGTGACTGTAAGTCACCATTCCCAGCAGGGATTCCCCTCTCCGATCCTCCAGCCCTGACTGGAGGAATGGACAGGGGAGGGGGTGGGCACAGCTGGCTCTGCCTCTAGATACAGATCCATCCCGACTGCGGCTCTCTCAGTATATAGCAAGCTGTAGCTTGCTAAATACTGAGCTCTGGGTCACCGGAGGACGCTAGTATATATCCTCCTGTGACCCTTTAGTGAATTATGGGATAAAAAGGTTACCCCATAGTTCTCTTTTAATAAAAAAAACTATTGTATCCATTGGCATTCCCAAAATAACAACGATTAAGAATTTACTCACAACCACTACTTAGATTCAGATCTGCCTTGGGAATTTTTAATCTGACTAATGATACATCAAGCAGCCAGAGAGGAAGATAGAGGCTTTATATAACAAATATGACCATCCCGTATACCAGGATACAAGCGATCCGCCGGCTGTAGAGCCGGCGTATCGCGTGTATGGGGTGCCGATCGGTGTGTGTGTGTGTCCCGCCGTTGTCCCGCTGATCCCTGGCTCCGCTGTGCCCGGTGCGAGCCCGGGATCAGCATGTCGCCTGTGTCACAGGGGATCAGAGGGAGCTCGTTACATTAGCTCCCTCCTGTCCCCTCTCCTCTGCAAGAATGCAGAAGTGTTGTATAATACATCACTTCTGCATTCTTGTGTCACTCTCCAGCTTCAGAAGCTGGAAAGAAGCTGATGGAGCAGATCTGTGCTTCATCAGCTTCTTTCGGGGGTCCTAGGTGACATTAGGGGTCTTGGAGACCCCTGATGTCTACATAAAGAGGACCTGTCACATATTTTGCTATACTGATAACACTAAACTGATGAGCGGTAAAAGCTGTTAAAGTGTCGCCTATGGCCAATTTTGGGTATGGTAGTTTTCTGCGATTTTGCATGTGCGCGCAATTTTAAAGCTTGACATGTTTGGTGTCTATTTACCCGACGTGACCCCGTCTTTTATATTTTACCAAAAAATTGGGTAATAATAAATGTTTCCTAACATAATGTTTAAAAAAACTTTTTTTTTTTTTCAAAATTTTCTGTAATTTTTTTCTAATTATAGTAAAAAATTAAAACCCCAGTGGTGACTAAATACCACCAAATGAAAGCTCTATCTGTCCCCAAAAAATGGTATAACATTAATTTCAGTACAGCGTTGCATGACGGAATAAACGTCAGTCAAAGTACCGCAGCGCTGAATACTGAAAAATGGCCTGGCCCGGAAGGGGGTCTAAACACCTGGTCTTGAAGTGGTTAATATACAGAAAGGTTTCTACAATCCTTAGAATATTGGGGCTCAAGGTTTTGTTCTCTTTGAAGCTCAGTAAATTTTATAAAAATAATTAAGTAAATGAACCTTCAATAATATAGATATTTTTGTGTTCCACATTTTACACTCTCATAGATTACGGTTCAACAAAATAACATTCTGAATTATTATCAAAGGAGGTATGCAGTTCCTTTATTGTTTTAAATTAATCTTTTGGACAATACTGTCTAGAAAATTATGGTGAAAAGTATTCACATTCGGAATTAAAACCGTGTTTTGTAGACTGGAAGAAATGGGCTCTGTGAAGTCATAGAAACTTTAGTTTGCTGTAATTATTTGAAGTACTCTCCAAGGTAACATCGTTTTGTGAATATTCAGTTTTCTGTTCTCAAACTTTTCCCTGATGTGATGATGAGATACACCAATAAACACCCAAAACCATTATATTGATGGGGTTGTGTCGAAGTGCAGTATTTTAATTTGTGATTTTATGTGATTGTGAGTGAATAGGGATTGTGCATTAGCCTTGGCAGGAAAAGGTAATCTATTTTATTGACTTTTATATACTGTCTTTTCCTATCTGATTTCTAGGAGAGATAAACACAAATGATCAGGCAATAATGTAACCCAATATAGGAAAATGCCACTTCTTGCTGCACACAATTGGCTGGCTTCTGTGTTACTTGCTTCATTATAGGAAATGCAGCATTTTTGTGCCCCCCCTCCCCTTTTCTCTTTGCAGTGTTCAGTGCATTGCTTATGGCGCTTTCTGAAACTGACAACTGTGAAGTGGTATGGCCCCTTTTACACAGGCATTCCGATCCTGTCCATCAGTCAGTTCAACATTGGCCTGAAAGTCTATGGACAGCTGCATCTAAAGCTGGGATGGCCAAATTCCGGCCCTCCAGCTGTGGTGAAACTACAAATCCCATGAAACATCTCTCTCCGAGAGTCGTGGCTGTGAGAATCTTGCAAAGCCTCATGGGATTCGTACTTCCACCACAGCTGGAGGGCAAGTTTGGCCATCCCTGATCTAAAGGGATATGTGACCACTTACGTTAGAGTTCCATTTCTGCAGATGTGATTGGGGCGGATCAGGGGTAATCCGATCGGCCACAAAACGGACACATGTCTATTTACATCTGATTGCAGATAGATCTGGTAATTTCATTTTTTCCCTCCATCATAAGATGGAGGAAAAAAACTGGCTAAACACAGCTGTCACAACGCTGACATCTGTTCAGATAAGCAATATATTCAAGTATGGATCCCCTGCTGACCATAACTGAAAGCGGTCGCGTGAAAGGGACCTATGTAAAAGTTAGAAACCCTACGCATTTAAACAAAATTCTGACTGCTGTATTAACCCTTGGCTAGCTACTTAGGCATTTCACACTTTTCTATAATAGCCCATTGAAAAATTGTTCTACTTTCTTTTAGAAAGTGGAAAACTATTTAAATACCTCTTCTTTCTGGCCATTTGATAGTTTGGCAGTTTGATATTAACCACTAAGCCAAGGCTCAAAATACCCACTCGCCTGCTCGCATTTGGCGGGTAGAAATGCAGGGCAGGCGAGTGGAAATTCCTGTCAGGCTTGCGGTCTCAGACCGCGTACCTGACTCGTGGGAGCAGCTGATCCTGCTGGGCTCTCCCTTCCATTCGGCCGGAGCTCTTCACTGAGCTCCGGGTCGAAAACAAAGTGATTAGTAATGTCTGCAGACATTACTAATCTCACTAGATCACCAGGGATCTGCCTGCTCGCCTCCTCCCTGCAGAAGGACAAGCAGGTGAGGGGGTTTCATTTTACATTTTTGTGGCAGGGAAC